CCCCCCCCTCTCCCTCTCTGTTGGGTCTGTGGCTTGTTGTGCTAGCACCTTCCTAGACTGTTGAGGGTTTTTCTAAAAGTTTTAGGATGTTGTATTTTTTGCGGTAATAGGATTAAACACATTATTTTCCAGCAACGCTCCAGGGAAATAAGGATGCCGCTGCATTGACAATAATACCTTGCATGATCCAAATATGGTACGGACCGCAACGTACGGGCACTTCTGGAAATTGTATCGTGATTTGACAAATTTCGTCCTAAGTCATTTTTCTACACAAACTCTTCGTAATTTCTATGGAACTCAAGTGTCGTAGCCTACAGTATCACACTTCTAAGTGCGGTACCATGATAGTGTCCTGCAGTTATAAGTGTAGGTCACCATAGGACGAGGAGTGTCCGACACCTAAAGGTGCCTCTTCTAACCCAAGTGTCGGACACCCTCTGTCCGACACGGTCCGACACGTATAACTGTAGTGTGGTGTCCTACACTGCATGCTGTAGGACACGTGCTGTCACATTTGTAACTGCAATACACGTCGTTCCTATAACTGTAGAACACCACTGCACTTATAAATGTGACTGTGCGACACTGCACGACACTCTTGAGTTCCCAGAGTGAAAGTAATAAGTTCGTAAAATAATGAACAGTTTGTAACTCGGTTGTTAAACCAACAAAAACGATCCCGGACACTAGAAACCCCTGGGCACAAATTGTGAGATTAAACTCTCTGACACCATAAAATCGTGATTTTACGAATAGTTTTATTTTATACCACTACGAACAGTTTATACCGAGGTTTATACCTAACTTTGACGAAATACTTGTTATTTTTAATCATTTTTCAACATTATTGCTGGCGCAAAATTTCGCAATTCACTTTTAGTGGGGAGACTGTAAATGAAAAACGGTATACGGCGTATATTTCAGTGTTTCACCATGCATCGTTATGACGCCATGACACAGTGGTTAGACTGTCACATAAACACATGAAACAAAAAATATGCATAAAAAGCAATTTCTTTGTAATAATTTTGCAGTGTGTGGTTACCTTATTTCGCAAATACTTGTGAGCGCACCGGACATGCAGCGGGTCAGTCCCACGAGCCGCGGGGCCGAGCCAAGTGTGGCCACGTGTACGCGGTGGTCAGTTCTCACGGCCGGGTGGTGAAACACGTAGGCAGAATTCATATCGGACATGTATTAACACGGTGAGTGCAGGACGCGGGGAGAAAAATTGACCCACCCCACCCACAGGTCGGTGGTTTTGTGGAGCAGTATGTGTTATGTGTGTCACAGCCACTGAATAATTTTAGATTTGCTTTTACTGCACTAAAACACGAAGTGAACCTCGCTCTGATCGTAGACTTGCTCGGGTCGGACCTCGGCCCTGACTCTTCACCCGCTTGGGGTTGGTTGTCGAGTGGAAAAGCAATAATTCCTTTGTAATTTGCGGTAACTCAGATTGGGGTTTTAAGACTTTATTTATCAGTGTAACAACATCTTAAAAAGTCCAAAAGGCCCTAGCTCATTCCGATGTATGGATGCAGTATTTGCTGCATACATAGTCATGTACACACTATTTGCTGCTTACATAATCATGTACGCAGTATTTGCTGCATACCGGATGTAACTGAAAATGCGCGGGATTGCATACCCGCCAGGGCTGCAGGGGCCATGGCGCCTTACGGGCTAACTGGGTAGGCAAACCCGCAACACTGTTGCGCATTCTCAGTTACACCCGGTACATGTAGGTATTCAGTAAATAACGCATACATGTACACACTTGGGTTTCCAGAGTTTGCAGTGAGCTCGAACTCGAATTTTCTCCTGTTTTGTTGCTTTTACAATGTGTGCGTGAACTACACGCTTGTAATACTGTTATGAAGGCATTTCAATTTTAAATCCATGTTAGGTTGCCGACTGCGGAGGAGGAGGGAAAAAGTTGCCACGTCGTTCAGCTTGCTCTAACCTCTTCACACGGTCGTTAAGCCCCGGTGCTTTGAAGTCGACCCCTGCTCTATACCTCGGAGGCCTTCTCTTCCGTTTCACCCCAGCGAGATATGGATTCCCGTGTGCTGCGCATGAGAATGTAACGCCGGCTCTGCATAACTCTCCATTGCAATAATGCGGGTCTTTAGTTGGAGCGTTTTGGCTGAAACGACGGCTGCTCTCTTAATTAAACTGCATTTTAAATAAACAGAATTGAAATACCTTGGAACACGTGTTACTATTGTGTCCTTTCCGTTTCATCAACTTTGTAGGGAACAACACCACCTGCTGGCACGTTTCTCACACACAACCTGAAGTACCGGGTGTTTTAGAGCGGACACTGTAGTGCTACAGGATTGCATATTGGCTAGAGCCACGGGGGCTATATTTCAGTAGAAAAGCAAAGGCGCTGAAGAATGCCTCCGCAGGGGCGTTATGGAAATTTTCAATTGAGTTCATATGCGAAGGCACCAAAGAGCTCTGAAAATGCGAAAAATTAGTGTATTTGGCAGTTGTAGTGCTTTTCTAGGGGCACTAAACCTTTACTGCATTTCAAAGGAGGACTTCGCACCTTTGTTTTTCCAGTGTGGTGGTGTCTGCTCCGAAATACCCGCCGGTACACATCCATACCTCCACTTAGTTCGGGGGGATGTCCTCGTCCTCCCAGCACCTCGCAGGGCTACGCGGCGCGGTGCTGGGCGTTGCGCTGCTCTCATCGGCCCGGGCGTGTGTGAGAAACGCGTTAATGCTCGCGTTAATGTATTCACCGGGCCCGCGAAGGTTAGGCCCTTCGCAACCCCGAACGGCCGGTGGGCCCCGGGGGCCGGGCCGGGGGGCCGGGTCAGGGACCGGCACGCAACAGGGCGGGCCCGGCGGGAGAGGAGGGCTTAAGCAGGCGGGACGGCGTCTGGACGAGGATCAGAACAATGCCGAAAAACGCCGGACCTTGGGAGAAAAACAATCCTCACAACAAGTAGCTGCTGCGGCAGGCAGGCAGTCTTGCACCAGTGGGCAGCAGCCCAGGGCCCGGGCTGTCACAAGAGTTTTATATAAAATCACAGACACTCACACACACACTCACTCACGAGCGCGCGCGCTCGCACGCCTACGCCCACACCTGCACGGTACGGTTAAATATTTTCTCACACACTGAAGGTGTTAGGAAGGGCTCTAAAGGCAGCGCCTTACTGGAAAAACAAAGGTGTTCAGCCATACCTTTAAACGGTGCAAACAAAAGGGTGTAGTGTTTTTGCAAAGTCATCAAAATTACAAAATGCACTTTTTTACCCTGCTCACTGCTTTTTAGTAGCCTCTTACAGCGGCCTTTCACTCAAAATTTATATACCCAGAAAAATATGTAAGCCTGTAACAACTCTTTTTACTTGTCTATCAGGAAAACACTACAAGCATGACTACACAATGAAGCCCAAGTATATGTGCATGTCGTTACAAAACTGCAAGGTTAGCATGTGGAAGCTCACATAGCGCCTCCATCGTGGGTAGGCATGATCTTTCCTGCAAAGCATGCGTGTACTGCGGATTGGACTACCCTAAGTCTCGCAGGCGCCGAGCATCCGTCATCTGCCGAATAAATCTAAGAACACAAGGAACAATTGGATCACAGAATGAAGGCATGCCATGTCGATGGGTCTGCCTTCGAACTGTTACTGTCTCTCGCCCCGCAGTAGTGACGCCTGGATCACAGGGAGCAGCCTGTACACCATTCAGGCAGTGGTTTCTGTACGGCATGCTCGCACGTGTCGGACTCAAGGTGTTAAAGGCCCAAGAAGAAAGAACCGGGACCGACCGGGACGCAGCATTGAGGAAAATGCGCAGCAGTAGTTGTTGTTTGAGCTGATGGCCAGTGCTCACGCCCCGGCTGACAGTAATTGGAGCCCTCACCTCGCCCTGCCTCCGTTGCCGCCAAAGCTTTAGCTCTTTCAGTGTTTAGGGCCTCCAGAGGGCCCAGGGGGCGGGGGCGTCAGCCAGCAGGGCCAGGTTCTCGGCCAGTGTGCCACCAGCCGCTAACGACCCGCGTAATAAGAGGCTCGATACCCACTGCCTCCCCTCCTCCTCCTCTGTCTGTCTGTCTGTCTGTCTGTCTGTCTGTCTCTGTCTCTCTCTCTCTCTCCCTCTCCCTCTCCCTCTCTCTCTCTCTCTCTCTCTTCATTTCGCACTCCACTTCTCATTCCTCTTCTCTTTCCCTCTCCAGCCCATCGCAGCCCTGATGGAACTCCTGGACAGGGTCCGGATA